CCAAGACCCAAACCGCAGAGATAAAGTGTTGGGACGAGATACTAGCATCTCAATATTTCATTTTGTATATGTGCTTTTGTCACAAACTGAAACAATTGTGCTACAGCTATGAACACAGCCATTTTTGTAACACAAAACTAGATATCAAATTATTCGGAATATCCAAAGGATAAAGTTCAATATAATGGAATGCAAAGAAAAAGGTATAATTTGACGTCTGTGCGCGTGACATAACATTAAAATTTTCAGTGGAAGTAACAAAACCCCTAAACATATTGCTAATGCTTTCTTTTTAAAGAAAAACTCTTCAATAAAGCTGTCTAATGACGTTGATGCACATAGTGGAATTTACTCTTTGTCACTTTATAAGTATCAACACTTGGGATATCCAATTATAAAACGTGTTTATAGACATCAAAGCTTGTCTTCAACAGTTTACTGCAGTAACGAGTTACTATATTATAATACATTTAAAATTCCAAGTGCAATTAATTATAAGTGCCAGTTGAATTTAAAGCATGACGGGAGTGTGGCACAGAGGGTAAAATTTACTCCTCATCAAAGCCGAGAAGGGTATTGTGATCGCAAAATTTTCGTAATTCGCTTAACAATTTTTACGATCTTTCATGACATTTAGTCATGAAATTCATATTACTGTCGGTCTGCCTACTAAAACGGCGTTCTAACCACGTCGTCTCGGAAATGGTTCTGTTTACATTCGGAGAGGAACATACTGAGAAATCATAGCAGAACATGTATGTTTGTGCTGACAATGTTTGTTTTACCGGACTTTGAATCATTCCTCTGTTGTAGTTTATTCTATACAGGGTTCAAAAGCTCATAGCAGATTGTAAACAACATAATTCTTACACACCATGATTTTGAAAACTGACAAGGATAATGTGCAGTAAATTTATTCGTTAACCATTTTCGAGTTCTGGATTTTTATTCTCCGAAACCAAAAGAAATTTCAAGTACCGCTTTGTCCAAGATAAAATTGGTGTTTATGAATACCGTTTGAGGTTGTCACTGTTCTATTAAAGAAATTACAAATTTGTGGTCGAGGTTTGCGATATTTGGGAGTATCTAGGCTTTCCACTGTCCTCACCGCGATGTGTCTGCAAATGACCTGCGTCCCTAGCATTTTCAACGAGATAAACGTATCCAGAGGAAGATGAAAACGTCCCGGAAAATGATCTACACCCTCTGCTCAACACTTACCATAAGCCAGTAGCGTTCAATTTTGTTTCTCTTTCGAATCCGCTTTATAAACAAATAACGCACTTTACCCACATTAAGCTTGGGTTGAATATTGACAGACACTTGGTGAAAAATATTCTGGAAAATCATAACAGAAAATGCATTTTTTTGTACTGATCAGACCTCTAATAATTCTTCTATTACAATTTATACTACAACGGGCTCAAAAATAGCATCTTCATAGAATTTTGTTGCATTATTTTTACACTTCACACTTCAACAGCTTATTTCTAACTCACCCCGATTTTCAAAAATGACAACGAGAATGTACAATATTTCTGTAAAGTGATATCTATATAATGATAATGAGGTTTTTTGGTCCTATGGCGATCATAGGCGATTCCTTAATTAATGGTGAGGTACAGATATCTTTTTTCAAAATTAGAGAGATCTAGCTCTCGACTATTTGACGGCTTATTACACGAGAGATTTTGAGAAACGCACTGTCCGAGATGCCATTGAGATTTTTAAACTTTGTGCTCGATGCTTGCGATGCTCGGGTTTATCTAGACCTCCATTGCACCCACATCGATGTTTCTGCAAACGAGCTGTGACCTGAGATAAACATACTCGAAGGAAGATGGAAACGTGCCGGAAAAGGATGTGAAGGCACTCGGCTCCCAACACCTTCCATAAGATAATATCGTATCAAGTATTATTTTTTAAATATACTTACCAACACGAAGTCTGGGTTGAATACTGGCAAGCGTCATGCCTAATCACTTAATCATCGCTGGAGATATCTCGGTTGTTTTAATCTTTTACGTTCAAAGCTTAATTTCGTTGTTCTAAGTACCCTATTGTACGACCATGGGAGCAAAGGTAAAGGTGAAAGCGATCAATTATAATCCCCTGTGAGAACGGTGGCGCCACCACCACCATCATCATCATTCGCTGATGACGGTAGCAGTGGTAGCTGTAGGTACAAAGCAGAGCGTGATTACGAGCCATCATACATATTTATGCGGCCCAGCCATATCGACTGCTGTTCGACGATGATTTTCCCTTTCCCGGGCCCACCAAAGCAACTAACGAAATCCTTAGAAGTCGGAGGAGAAGAAAACAAACGACGAGAGACCTTTGTTTTTTCGATCCAATCTGCATTTCATTAGCGATTCTTCGTTATTATTTCGTCAATTGCAGGGGGCGCTCAATCAAGACCGCATCGAAGGCTTTGTCTTGTTATCTGCTGACTTGCCGACTCAGACCGATTGCAAACATAATTGGTACGGGTTGCTTTACAAAGGAATACTAGTAGAGTGCAGTTGGCAAGTACTTTTAGGATTTAAGGACTTAAGCACGTTAATTGCGATGTTAAGTCACGCCCCTTTCACATATTTTACAATTCCGCTATTCCTATTGTTTTGGGGGAGTAGAAAAGACCCCCCAGAAACCATAAAGGGTAATGGCTTGCGGCTATTTTCAAAAAAACTCAGTTTGTTGCATATGTGAACACGCGTGTGTGAGTCGTAGAGTAAACGTTTACATTGACCCAAAGTTCTCCCACATGTGGTGTCCGTGATATGAGGGTTGATCCAAATAAAGTTCCCAAAGAGCTCCAGTCACAATCGAAACGGCTCTATATCACCAAATAGGGTTGCGCTGGTTACGGTTGTGTGAACGAGTGGACTGTATATTTTGCGCGGAATGGCTCCTTACCTCAAAGGTCAATGAGGTGCAATCCTTGAATTGATTTCTCACACCATCAACGCTTGACAACAGTTTTCCACTAACGATTTCCCCTGTTCGCATTTCACTGCGTCGCTTATTCTTGACTCAGTAGTTTTTTCATTTTTGATCCCGCTAAGTGCAAGATTGGTACTTCAAAACGGGAGGATCGCCGCCAGTAAACTTGTTGTTCAGACTCCTGGGAGTTCACTCATGGTGATCCTCCAGTTCCATTTCGCCTTGGATCATCTCGGTAATCGCCTCCGAGACTGACAGTCGTCCACTCCGTCCTTCATCGCGAACTTCCTTTGGATCGGCACTAAACTCCCTGCACCACTATCACACTTGCCGCCATAGACCTGTCGATGGAGAAAGGAAATTATCAACAGTGAGAACTTTCTTATAGGACAGCTGCTGAGCCAAGAATGAGCGGGACAGGATAGAATAGCACTAACAGCATCGGCATTCATATCACAGTTTTGCAGCCACATGCAATGACGAATCAACCCCTGAGTTAATATTCCATCTACTCAATCTGAAAAAGCAGATAAGCGCAACGTAACTATGGGAACATTGAAATCAATTTGAAATAGTATTTATTCTTGATTCTTCTCATATCCAAGCAATCCATGTTGAACTTACAACTCTGAGTTTAGAACAAAGATTATAGGGCGGGTGGAAGAGCATCCGGTGCTGAACTCTCATTTCTTGAAATTACTTAATATCAATTTTGTTGTATGTATATTGTGTTTGTTATCCTGAATGTCCAAAATAAATTCAGTATAAAATACTACTCATTGTGCATTTAAAGTAATCTAGAACAACTGAGGCGTGTTGCAGCAAAAGGGCCTATATCCATTTTTGGTAAAAAGTGAGTAAAAGGCGGTTATGATATCTGTATCGATAGCCGCATCAACTGGTCAAGTATTCATATGTCAAAGGTGTCTTTATTCCATATAAAACTACGATGAAATATAGGGTGTCGCGGCAAAAGGCCTATATCCAACAAGCCAATCAAACCACTAGAATTCTGTCATGCGGCTTCGAGTTTCATCAAGGCCGTGGGTTTTACGTTTATTAGAGTTTAGCATCGAAAGGAGATTGTTGTTTGTATTGTAAAGTATAGGATTGTAATAAAACTTCTTTAGTTTGTTGACTATGAACGCGAGTATTACCCCATCGGAACCGGGAAAAGCTAGGCGGAGTACTGGAGATCCTAGTAAATGAAAAAGAAACGTTGCAAAATTTAAAAGGTAGGTACCTTATCCTTATCATGACAGATACAGCGAATCAGCAAGTAAAAAAGTTGTGTATTTATTTTTTTTTCGTTTTCAATATTTTGAGAAGTACCTTTTTCACCATTTAATGTCGAGTGCCCTTGCCTTGATACCCGGTAGGCCTTTTGGTCTCCAGACCACGCCTAACAATATTGCATACTTTCTATTGCGAGCTATCAAGTTAATTTTTTGTAGATATGATCCTCCAGGACCACCAGAATATCCTTGTTGCGGCCACCTTAACAAGTCCTTCAAGTGCAGAAAGTTAAAAATGAGAGACATCAAAGAATTCCATGAGAATGTTTACTCTACGCGCGCAAAGAACTCCCAAGATGCGTTTATCATTACACATGTGAAGGTAACAAGTGCAAAAAGACCACGTCCAAAAAAGAAACTTACCTCTACGAAGAAGGTTAGTACAAATTACTACATTAGAGTGTCCGGTACAGAAAAGTTTTGTATACGTGTTTGTCAACAAACCTTCGTCAACGTCTTTCAAGTATCACGTAAGAGAATTCAGAATTTAGCTAGGAAATTTCTGAACACGGGAAGAATGCCGGTTGACAAGAGAGGTGGGGCGAGGCCAAATCATCTTTATGACAAGAAAAAGGCCGCTATTAAAACATTCATAGAAAAATTAAAATGTTGTGAAAGCCACTATTCTCGAGGTAAGTCCGTGCATCGACGATACTTGCCAGGAAACTTAAGTATAAACAAATTATGTCGCATGTACAACAATGAACAGAGTGATGAATCACTGAAATCGAAGAAAACGTTTTTCCAAAAAATTTTTACCACGCAGTACAACATTGGGTTTGGCACGCCTATCACCGATGCCTACTCTCTGTGTATCGAACTAAAATCTAAAATAAAAAATGAGGCCAGTCCGCAGAATAAAAGTAAAATAATGAGTGAACTTACATTTCACAGAATGCGATACAAAGTGTTTTTCAGAAAACTTCAAGAAAAAAGAGAAGATCTCTTAACACTGAGTTTTGACTGCCAGTAGAATCTGGTTCTACCTAAGGTTCAGGATGAGACCGCCTACTATAGTAGGCAAATGTATATATACAATTTCTCAATCGTAAAAGGAAGCTCAAAAGACTCTTTAACTCCGGAAAATGTATATTGTTATACATGGATGGAACATGAACATAGAAAGGATGCTAATGAAATTGCCTCAGCGGTTTTCCATCAATTGTCACTCCTTGACTTGACATCTTACTCAGTCATTAGATTATGCGCCGACGGATGCGGTGGGCAAAACCGCAGCTCAGTTATGATTGGGATGCTGAGCTACTTCTTAGCACGAGTCGCACCTCCAAACATTCAGGAAATACACATGATTTTCCCTATCACTGGACACTCGTTTTTGCCAGCAGATCGTGTGTTTGCTTCCATAGAGAAAAAACTGCGTAAGTTACCAGTAATAATACAACCATCAGAATATGAAATAGTTTTTTCAGAGCATTCCACACTTTTTAAGCTTGGCACTGACCTGAAGGTTTACGACTGGAAAACTTTAGTAGGGACTTACTATAAAAAAACTACAACGTGGCACTTCAAGTTTAACGAAGCAAAGCGTTTCATCCTCACTAAATCCAAACAACAAAATATATTGGTTAGGGGTGAAGTATCTTACAGCAGTGATTTAACTAATGGCAAATTGGTTGTTAAAAATGGTGTCCAAATAAAATCAATCCCATTGCCTGATGAAATACCAATGGGAGTTGCATTGAAAGCAGCTAAGGTCCAAGAAGTTAAAAACCTTTTGAAAAAGCACTTCGGCGAGACCTGGGACACCATGGAAGAATGCTCCTTCTACAAAAATGTGTTGGGAATCACGGCCGATGTGACAGCTAGCCATACAGCAGCAACAAGCGAAACTGATGAAGACCTCGAAGAAGAAGTTAATGAGTTCTGTGAAGGACATCAACATGAACATCTCGTTGAGCGGGTGTAATACTTATTATATTTTCTCAAAATACATTGAGTTGATCTTAAAGAATCTTAGTTTTGATTTCTTGTAGACATATGTATTTTTTTTTAAGGGAAATAAATGTTTGCTTGTTTATTCTATCTATGTGCCGGATCTACCACCATGTAATAAGCTCATTCCTAAAATAAATTCTAAGTTGAAAATTGTCTCAACAATATATATTATGGGGATTATTCCAGGAATAAGTTTATAGCGCGGCGGTAGAATCGTCCATAAGTGTGTTATTGCGTCAAAACAGCCTATATCCTTATACAGCTGGAGCAAAAGTTCCTTTATCCATTTTGTTACGGCAAATGGTTCTATATCCAAACTCTATAGCTAAATTACATCCGCTTTGCTCACTCCACGATTATTTTTGTTGCTTGTATTTGTTTTATAACCCAATAGGAACGGTTCAAAACAAAATTATAGCCGTTAAAACTTTTAACTTAGTTAGAACAGTTTTTCGCCAATTGTGGAAAATTAGTGGAAGGGGATATAGGCCCTTTTGCAGTGAGACGCCTCAAATAGACCTACATGCAGATACGACGCCACGGATACATCCTTGATGTTGTTTAAAAAGCTGTACAGATAGAACACGCGTGGATAAATTTAACTTCGTACAAAGCCAGTTCAAAACCGTAGTTAATCCACCCCATCCATCATCCATTGGTTGCTGCCACACCCCCACAACTGTCACGAATGTCCCGCCACTGTACGCCGTACTTTCCCCTTGTCGCGTCGTCTGAAACTTAATGGTGCGCCATATGACAACTTTGCCTCCATAAATTCTACGACTAATAACACTTAATGCCAGTTATTAGGACTGATTCTTGTTTCGGAGTGGTGACAGTAATGTCACGGTGCCACGGTGGGTGTAAAATGTATTTCGTTATAATAGAGGTTCCGCGGAATAAATTGACATTTATTTTGGTAGTGCAAAAATTGCATTGAAAGCCAGGCTTCTCTTTTCATCGGTGTGTTATGATTATACTGCACGCTCCCAGTTGTGCTGCGAACTGATAGCAATGTAATGCTATGAATTTAATTACGGAAACTCGTATGAATATGAGACAGTTTTTCAGCATTAATTAATTCTACAATCCCTCCCCGTACGCTCATCATATTTTGATGCTTGGACGATACCCTTGCTAAAAATCATAGAAAGTTCAATATATTTCGGTTTTTAAAGCCATATTTCATAGATCATAGATTTCCCTCTATAATTGCCTTTAAAACTTGAGATAATGATACAGAAATGTTTTCGATCCGCGTACTCCTGCTATCTAAGCACACTGCTAGGCGTACTGGCAATGCTGATCAGATGATTAATCTATCCGTACTGCAGCGCACAAAACATACAGACGGAATGAACGATGGGCGTGGAAGGGGATAAAGCTTGGCCTGTATGTTGGTAACGGAATCTTTGAGCATAATTTTCACCCATTTCCAGAAGTTTGATTCATTTGAAACTTCGCATACGTATCAAGGACCGATGACAATGCAATATCTTGATAGAAGTTTTCCATTATCCTTATTAGGACCGCCAGGATTGATAAATTCTTTTACAGATCCTCTGACTTATTCTTCGTTGGTTCGGGTACTCGTCACAGCACAACATAGGCAGATATGCATTCGCACCTTGTTCATTGCGAAAAATAAATAATAGTTTAAGAAAACTAAAAAAACACGCTTCTATAGCTACCGGTTAGCTATAAAAGCGTGTTTTTTTAGTTTTTTAACTATTATTTATAAACACTGCCATTTTAATTTCCATATTTGGAAAATCTATCCTCATACCTAGTTTTTTTTTGTGTAAAAATCTATTTTTTTCTTCGAAAAGTAGCCAGATCCCCAAAAAATGCGATTATCATGGATTCCTGTACATACATCAAATCGATCGAATAAGAAAAGCGTACAATACATTCATCAGAGACCAATGACATCTACGAAAAGCAACTGGTGTACCAAGAGTTAGGCTCGTTATGTCATCAATGGGCGAATCTTCATCTTTTCTCTCCATATATCTAGGTTTATCCAAATACGACAGGCAAAAGCGCCATCTATAACCAGAAGCAATCACGATGAGAGTGATAGCACTAATATTTTGAATCTATAAAGTTGCCAATAAGCATCAAACACTAGGAAAGCAGTATTATCAGTTCACAGATGTAGGATTAACTTCTTACTAACGTTTTTGCTACCTCGGTGGCTTTTTCAAAGAACAAATCAAAACACTAGTACAAATTTAATCCTACCATCATTTACACAAACGTGACAATCCTACATATGTCGTTTCATTATTTAGGCCCGTATCGTCAGTCGTCCCTACAATTGTAGGGCGCCTTTATGTCCTCCTTGATTGTCATAGTTTTCTACTTCTCTGTGTCAGAATCCTATTTTGAGGTTATGTGACAAACATCTATTTGCATCAAATTGTGCTTGCTTTTGAGTTATATCATGTTTTATCAGCCTGAAATTTCCTACAATTTAAAAAGAAAACATATCTTCACAATAGGAGAGCGCTGATGCTGACACGGGACAACTGTAATCTAGAAATTTTTTAAGGAGAGAAAGGAGTATGACAATCAAGGAGGCCATAAACGCGCCCTACAATTGTAGGGACGACTGACGATACGGGCCTTAATCGTGAGACACTATTGAGGCGTGTCAGCCTGAAAATCGAAGGATGAGTTTCAAATGTTACATTCACCAATCGACAGTGCCACTTCCCGAAAACTTTGGAGGATGTATGCTGCGACCCTTTATATCTATTTTGAATGCCGCCGCCTCTGATTTCCTAAAACCGTCGCAACCCACCCTGGAGCAAGGGTGCTGGCGGGACCTCATCCTCAACCCATTTGCGCTGCCTAAACCGCCACCCCAAGAGGACAGTTTCGGGCATTGTGTCTCGTCGTTCTCCGACAACTTCTGTCATCGATACAATCGCCCGAAAGGAGTCAATTTGTTCCACCGTTAACCACCGCTAATATAATTTGCTCAGTTGGCCGCTGCTAATTGCCCATTTAAATGAGAGGCAACGGGGTGGGGGTGCTCCCACTGCCTCTATGATAATAGTTAAGGATTCATTCGATTTAACTAAAGGTCCGCCTTACTGAATTGTTAGATACACGTGGAAAATTGTTAGGGCACGGAATAAGTCTTGTCGTATAGAAAAACCATTTATTGTTGTTTGAAATAATTTCCATCATATTAAATACAGTTCACCATACTTAAGAATCAGTCAATAATCTACTCCTCTCTTTGCTCCTTCTCACAACGACTCTCACGTTGCAGTCAGTTCATCTTCGGACGTAGACTCACGTCCTTTCGGAAACTAAAAAAAAAAAACAAAATCGCCACGACAGAGGTATAAGTTGGATGATACAACACAGATTCTTCAAAAAACTGTTAATAATAATAATAGTCGTCTTTATTTGGAAATACACTAACTTAGTTAGCGATTGGGAATACAGAAATGTATGTACTATCTTAAGGGAAAAAGCAGACAAGAACAAAATCAGAAAACGTGTAAATCAAGAATTACAATACATCATAAAATATATAAATGATAAGATTAAGTGGATAGTGAATTTATAAATAGTTTAATTTTGTTGCGGAATGTAGAAAAAGAGTATGATTTATACACTTCAGGTATTGGATTAGACGTGATAGGTAAATTATATGAAAAACTTCACCTAAATAATGTTGTTTTGTACGGTGGAACTCTTATAATTTTGTGTCTTAACGGTCTAGTGTGCACATCCTTACTGAAAACAATCTTTTCTCTGAGGTATAAAGGCGTTGACGTATGCAACAATTTATGTACGAAAATTAAATAGTGACAGTTTACTAAATCCTCAAATTTCATCCACTACAATATTTGGTACACATGGCCAAATTTTCGTAATCCAGAAATGAACCGTAACAATTATTTTGACTGATTTGGATAATGTTTTTGTAAAGCAGTCTATGACGGAAAATAGACAATATCACAGTAATTTAAAACAGATTTGTGAAGATCCTATGTCAGCGGTGATATAGGTTCTAAATTTTTCATTGTTACAAATAGTTGTGACAATCTATCTTCTGCGCTATTTCGCCTTGCCTCTTTTCTGTTTACCAACCGTAATGCTTGCCACTAAGACTCAGTCCCCGAAAAAATGCAGGATCACTATTTTTCCAACCGACCGTGACTTTCTAAATTTGTAGCATGCTCTCGTTATGTGTGCTGATGGAATTTAGGGCACTTTTCTTTCCAGATTCAAATTTTATCGCATTTTTTGCACCAGGTCATACCCCTGTAATCCTCTACTCGTCAATTAAGCCCGAAGAGTGCAAAGTTTCCTAAAGTTTAAATTATCGGACGTAATTCGCCCAATATTTCGTTCAGAAATATTGACGGATACTGTTTATACCTGTACTTATGTGATTCGTCTGTATTTGATTGTAGTCACGTTTGAAATTCTTTAGCTGATTTGGGAGAATTATAGGAAGACATGACACGCTAACCAACAGTAGTGAACCACTAGACTACACAGCGACACATAATGCTTACTGTTCATCAACAGATAAATATTTATACTTTGTGCGCAGACTAACCAAAGCTTTACAACGATGTTAATGTGCATAATCTTGCTGCTTGCCTAGCCCACTTCAAATGGCGGATTATCTACTTTTAGGTAGTTAATCGTCGTGTTTGTATACATCAAATCATGTTGTCAAATTGAAGATAAGAAAATTGTTATTAGCCTCGATAGCTTCCTAGTTAAGTACAATGTCTAGGTTTCTGTGGTGAGGCTCATTTGAAATGTTATTCTTTGAGTAAAGCTAATTACAAACAGTCCACGGCGCCATTTATTGAGGGAACATTTGAAGCACATTCAGAAAACTCCAGACCGGAAACCTATAATAAATTGTATCTCATACCTACTGGAAACAGAATATCAAAACAAACCTTGAACCATTCAAGGGAGATAAACGAACTGAACCACTACAACATAAAAAAATTTCGACAATCGACGAAAGTTCAATTTTAAAGAGTATAATTATATACAGTAATGGACAAAAGTATAAAGACAAATTAATATTGTGCTGTATTTATTTTTTCACTTGTTTTATTAATACACCAACATGTATACATAATTCGTTATAGCATAATACTCACTTATACATAAATAAATTCATTAGACTCCCTTCAATAAAAAACTGGAACTATGAAGGACAAAAATGTATAGACAAAAACAATTATAGAAAAAAGAAGCAAAGTTCATTGAATTATAGAAAACCAACTATGTTTGTGTTAATATTTTGTAGCATAACTATTATTATCAATCACCGCCTGACATCGTCACTGTTGCTCTAAAGCCTCAAAAAGTTCATCCTTGTTTGAATAATTTTTATCTCGTATTTGCTTATCTAACTATTCCCATATATTTTCAATGGGGTTTATATCGGGAGACTGTGAAGGCCATTTGAGAACTGGTATTTTTTCATCCAGAAAGAATTTCTTTGCGAGATTTGAAGTGTGCTTCGGTTCATTATCTTGCCGGAAGATTGATCTTAAGGGCATATTGTCTTCCATATAGGGTAACATGACATGCTTTAGTATGTCTGTGTATACAAACTTATCCATAATGTCTTCTTTTCTATGTAAAGGTCTTATCCCAAACCCCGAAAAGCACCCCCAAACCATAACAGACCCGCCTCTATGTTTGACAGTGGGCAAAGTGTACTTGGGGTTGAATCTTTGTCCACTAGGACCTCTAACGTAATGAACACCATCTGATCCAAACATATTGAACGTGGATTCGTCACTGAAACATACCCTCTTCCAGTCACATATGCTCCAATCAAGATGAAACCGTGCAAATTGTAATCGGTCCTTACGGTTTTTCCTCGAGGTTAGCGGCTTCTTACTTGGGCGACGGGCAAATAACTTCAACTCATTTAATCTTCTACTTATAGTTTTCGTAGAAACACTGATAATTCCTTTTGTTTCGATTTCGGCTTTTATTTGTCTTGGGGTTTTAAACGGTTCTTTGGATGAAATTACTTTTATTAATCTAACTGGTCTAGCATTTAGTTTTCTAGGCCGACCACTTCTCTTAGAGGCTTCCAAGATACCTTTTTGTTTATATTTGTTCAATATTGCCCTTTACGCTTCAGCTTCAAATTTTTGGCAATGTCGACTTGACGTTGACCATCTTTGTATAACTCAATGATCTTAGTTTCCACATCGAAAGAAATTTTTGTACCACGCGGCATGGTCTTAAAATCACTCAACTTATTCCACAATACTTGATGAACACAAACTAATCCTCTTCTGACACGAAACTGTACTAAACTAATGTTGAAAAGAATTTGTCTACATATTTTCGTCACTCATAAAAAAGTGCTTATATTCAGACTTGTATTGTGTTCATTGCAGATAATGTAAAAACAAGGAATTTAGTTTTTCTACTAATAACACATTCATTTATGGAGCAATGAAGTATGAATTCGTTTTCTAAAGGTATTTAGGTAAATATTCATATTTGTCTATATACCTACTTGAGTCCATTACTGTATATACATACCTGCTTCCAACAATTCTTATACTCCATATGAATAAAAAAATGGTGCATTTTTCTTTTCAGCTTATCATCAAATTATTTAAAACAAGACAATTTTTATAGTCTAAATGTTTGAAAAAACATGCTTGCCTGATATGGGTTTAATTGGGTAGAATTGTAAGATAAAAAATTAATTGGAATATGTTTAAAATTTCGTTGACCGTAAAATTGCCTTGACACCTTCTTAATATCCAATTTGATTTTAAAACGTGTTACATTATGTTAGTTATGTAAAATATTTGTTACAGTTTTGTTTGTGTTGTTGCCAAAAAAGTTCCAAGCCTCGGTAGCGCAGTAGGCAGCGCGTAAGTCTCATAATCTTAAGGTCGTGAGTTCGATCCTCACCCGGGGCAATTTTTTGCAACTCTGAACATCAAACTATACTCGTCTCCCTACGATTATTCCAGTCATCACTGCTTTAGGAATCGTAGGAATAACATCATTCAATAATTTTTCCTAACACGCTGTTTTCGAAATTTTAGCTCTATTGGGGCGGTCAATACATTTTGTATGCAAAATAGCCCTAATAGCATCCTAATGCGGCCTATCGTGAAATAAAAAAATCATTTGTCCGCTGTACTAGATGACCCCTATTGCCTCAAGATAAGGAGATCTTTTTATTTGTGAATATGCGTGTTTGTAATAAGAAGTTATCCAGCATTTGTGCTATTAACATAGCATACCATTTTTTGGAAAAAGAGGTCAAGGTGAGTTAATTTACAATACTTATGTAGTAGTGTGAGTGTGACGTATGTTCGATTACACCAGGGGCGTGTAGTTACAAAATACATAAGCGCAATTTCACTTCAGCTCGTCGTTCTAGAAGTCTTCGTCCTTGTCATGTGATCTAACATCTGAAATCAAAAAGAAAAACCTGGAAATTGAAGGTTTGACATAAACTGATGCTATATGTATTCTGACAGCAAAAGCATATCGTCGGCGTTGCTGCAATGCCATTTACGAAATAATAGTTAAAACTGCTTAACTTTGTAGCAATCAGTTTTGTAGTTGAGTGAACAATATGACTATTTTCCAACCTCACCTGTTTGGCTAACTGTACCGTTGCTTTGTCTTGTGTCATTTGAAACGTTTTGATTGATTACCTGACATCATGGGCTGCCAAGACCCTATACTTGTGAAATTACTATTTTGATTTTTTTTTGTAGTCACGTGGATTGACCTCTGTTGGTTACGCGAAGCTGCAGTATCACTGATGATATTTAAGGACTTGTATTTACAATCTGCGAGATTCGAAAGTTTGCAACTTATTAGCCAAAGCAAGCAAGGTTAAAAATAAAAATAAAATATGCCTAAAATACTCTTTACTCTTATTGTGGAAGGACCGGACTTCAATTGAGATACTTGGCAGCTGCAAAAACAATGATTTTAACCGTGTGTTTTAGCATTGAAAATATCTGTCTATTTATCTAGATATTGAATAGCTGATAACTCACAGATGGTCAACCTTGGAGGCCAAATACTACAGACATTTTTTTGTTCAGACTGATCCTAAAAACTCAAGTAATGCAACGTTGCCAGATTGTAGCAGACCCACTTTCAAATGCACGGTAAGCTGACAAATTTAACACGGGCATACCGCACATATATTTTTTATTCGATCACTTTTTGATGAATGCTTTTATATCAGAAATCATTTCTACTAGTTCTTTGTCTCTCCCCTGAATCTGTAAATTAAGTTCGCTTACTTTTTCTGTAATATCCACAAGAAAACCAAAATCTATAAGCCAGACTGAATTTTCCAGTTCCGGAATCGGTACATCACGTTACTTGAAAAATTGAACTATGGCAGGTGTGATATCATTGAAACGTTTCAGCACCATCGGACTTCAGCGTGAAGTAGTTCCCCGAATTGACAGTCAATTTCATCGGACAAGGTTTTGAATAATCTTCTTTGAAACACTTGAGGTATAATCTTGTTCACAAATTTTACTACCAATTTCATAACGTTGACTAGTTTTAGAAAATGTCCACATAATCCTTGCTGATGTATAATGCAGTGGTAACAGAGAAATTTCGGCAAACATTCATCTTTAAGTCATAACCCCACGAAACCCTTATCACGACAAACTGTACCTGGAGCGCAATCGGTTGTCAAGCCTACCATTTTTGATATTGGAATTTTTTCAGAAGAAATAAAAGAAGAAAATAAGGCCTGCCCAGTAGACTGTCCGTTTAGTGAAATAAACTTCAAAAGAACTTCTTTAATCGTAAAATCACTAAAAACCATCCTGACGAACACAGCCATCTGAGAGGTGTCAACGACATCTGTGGATTCGTCCATCTGCAGTGAAAAATAACCACAGTCATTTCTTAACTGTAAAACTATATCATTGCTCATTACTTCTACTCGTCTCATGATTGTGTTAGCAGAAAGTTGCATAGATTTTCTCTCAGACACTATTTCGTCTTTATTTCTTAAGTTGGCAAATAATGAATCTGCAGTTTCTAAGAATGCCTGTTTTATCATTTCCCCGTCTTCATGAGGTTTCTTCTTTTGTGTAATTATCTGGGACACCCGGTATGATGCTTCAGTTGCTTACCTTTGTCGATTGTTTTTGAAAACATAGCCTGATTTTTTTAATTTCTTAGTTTTTCCGTTCTGGTTGCAGAACGTAATGTGAATGATCAGAATTCGGATGAACAGTTGCCGCTGCTTGTCTTTATTATGAGAATTTACAAAATTTACGGAAGCTTCTATGACTTTTACACCTTTTTAAAATATGTTGTGAGCCACCAAAATTCCCTTTGCGAGCTACCGGTAGCTCGCGATCGACGGGTTTGCGACCACTGATATATACGATGTATGATGAGCTGAAAGCCACAAAAGTTAGTATGATATCAAAATATCTATATTGTATTCAAACCAGGTCTGCTACGTATCAGGTGCCTGTATGTCGAGACTTGGCCGATGCGGTGCGGCGTCTCCGCATCAACCATTCATCAAGTGCCCATCTCTTGGTCGGACCGCACGTCTTTTGTTCATTCCGAAGTTGGTTTCATTCATGGAATCTTAGATCTAGTTGCCGGTGCAAAGGTCCTCCGCTGATGGATGCTAAACGTATGCGAAGCAGGAGCAAGTACGTGCGCCAAGGACACACCCTGACAGGTCCTCAGCGGAATGGCAAATTATCAAGCTGAGGAAAGGTAAAAGCGTAACACAGGTAGCACTTTATTTTTGGTTATACCAGATCGTTCAGAATGTTCGGCTGAAGAATATAATGGTTAAAGTAAGGTTCGACTGTAAATAACAAACTCAGCTCCAGGTCGAAAAGAAAAACATTTTGATGACCTCCAATGACGGTGTCGTATGTATTTATTTTCTAAAAAACCCAGATTAATTTATAATATTAATAATATAGCTTTTGCTCGTTCGACCACAGGCGGTCAACCATGGACATGTGTTTCGTGCAATTTGGCAACTCATCGGCATGGTCTAGGCTTGTTCTTAGGTAGGACAATGAACAGAAGCTGAGCAAATATCCTCTATCCAGGTTATAAGCTCTATCGAACTAAGACAGCTTAATCTCCGGATTCAGACCTTTTAAAATTACCTTGGATGATATTAATTCTAGGAAAAGTTTTATTTAGCAGAGGTTAATACTGCAAGTTATTTGCTTCGATAGCGTCATGCTGTTCTCGTAGATACATCACCGAATGTGTGATGCCATGTAATTTTTCTTTATTGCAACGAAATTTAACTCCAACATTTATTTACTAGATGTACTTTCATGGTTTACTTCTTCTCTGTACTATGGGCGACATAGTCTGTCATCTGGGGAGCTGAACCCGATAAAACTACTGATCCATAAATCTTCAATCAAGAATAAATGTCCTTTGAACCGCATTGATGGACAATGCCTAATAGAAGAAGGATTTTCTGGTTATTTTAGATGAAGACTCTCCATACGAAAGGGAGTTCAAATTGGAAGATCAAGCGGGTCTTAAACGAGGTTACCCTCGACCTATCGAAAACTCTGTGGACCAGTGCTGCAGGCAAAACCTAAATGCCAGGACACCGCGACTGCTATTAGGAGCTTAAAGCAACTTTGCTAATTTAATTTTTTAACTGCCTAAGGTTAGTAGAACTGAGAAAAGCCTCTTCATGTTGATTCTTCCACAACCTCGATACCCTTGGGACAAAGGAACGGTCGGATCGGCCAGTTCTGGATGTGCGAACACGGTTAGGATGGGAGTCCGGAGTCAGGCGGGTCTGTCTGGCAGGCACATCGCATCATGGAGGGGAGCTCTGATGAGCAACGGCCATAGGCGTAGCGATAGAAGAGAGCTAGGTCGCCGTCGGTCCGCTGGTACGAAAGGGTCCCAAGACTGTCCGTTAGGGAAGAGCTATAGATGAGTAGGACAAGCCTCTTGAACAGCATCGAGCATGGATAATGTAAGTAAGCAAGATCCCGGTGTATCTGAAACTGACTGCAGTTTTGTATGCTAGACTAAAAATATTTGACATTATAGAGAGTGTTTTGTAGATTATTAAGCTTCACGTACGTTGTTTGCTCATAGAAACTACTATAGTCGGAAATTTGGATCAATCTGTGTTTGCAAAATAAAAACGATAATTCGAAAATCGTCAAGAATTATACTCTGAATTTTTCTCACTTTATCTGACATTAAAGATACTCAAACGTCTATTCGCCAATGTCTGTCAGAGTGGTCTGTGGGACCTTTGCTTTTGATAACGTCAGTAGGTCTGTCATGTCTGGTTGTCCAGATATCAGACAAAGTTCGGGAGAAAGAAGGGAAGAACAGAGTAGGGAAAGGAAGAGAGTCAGAGTAAAGAGGAGGAAGTACTTCAATTTGAGGGGCGCCTTATTAACCAGGATTTGGTAGTTTATGTGATCCTAAAACTAATTTAGAGATTGGTTGTGGTAGAAAAAATGTATGCGTCATCTGATGAGATTTGTCATAGGTATGTTTCTCATCTCTGTAATAATTATAAATCTATGTTGAACAGGTTACAGTCTCATAAATTGCGCATTAGAGGAGAAATATATGATGCCGATGATGGCAGGATATCTCATTTCATGTTGGATAATTTTTTTAATTTAAACATTCATGGCCATTTTTAGGAATAATGCATTAATCTATGCATTAGTAGCGCTACTTAATATCATTTTTGGGAATCAAATTGAAGATCTCGTTTTCCGAATTGCTTTGAAGGAAGTATATACATTATTATCCAACAAGCATGGACGAATGAACTTGGGTGGCAATACTCCATGGGCCCTAAATATAGATTCGTAGAATCTTAGCTGCCCCTGACATGATTCGAGTGGAAGATCTATTTTGGTCCATCACATCTCACATCACACAGTGTTGTCCGCACCTAACGACCTGCTCGCATTGTGGTAATGGCATTGTTATTTGTGTTCCATTGGTGAGTGATAATCGTTATTAAAGCCCGTGTCACTCATTTTGGTGATCCATCTGTCTGTTGGTCCTTCGGCTTGTTTGATAGAATTTTGTGAGAATTTCAATATTATGCTATGCTATGACGGGTTGAGTTGTTGAAATTGTGTGCAGTGGATACGTAATTGTACTCAAAAACAGAAAAGCTGCCGTTATAAAAGTTAATTTTGGTGTATTTTACAATATTTTGATGATTTTTTAGATAAATCTGCGAATGAAGGGAATTCAAAAACAAACATAAATGACTGCTTGAGAAAAACTAAGTCATTTTTAACCATTTTTTAGTTTATCGAAGAAAATCATCGGTTTATGAGTTAACTGATTTAAAAAATGCTAGAACTAATTTTCTTGCATATTTGTAGTGCTTTTTTCCTGTGACAATAGGCAATATATATTTTTTATTATGTTATATATTATATTATATAATATTACAAAAAGATGGCAAGGAGTAAAATTATAATCTAATGTAAAATTATAATTGGAAGTGTCAAGAGAACCAATTTAGATATACGGGCAGTATCCTAGCCAATATGCACTTTTCTAGGAGGTGAAAAAGGTACTTATTTTTTGAACATTTTTTTTCAAATGAAGTGGGTATAAGTGATATCTATTTTCGAACTTCATTATTAGTAAAGGGTGTTCAGATAAGGACGCTCGAAAGTTAAAATGGAAAAAAAAGGAAAAAAAATTAATTCAGCACTAAAAGTCTATATTGATCGTAAATAGCATTCGACGACATTATGTATGGAAGATTATATCGTTTAAATGGCCACCGCGACTGCGCTGTACAGCGTGCATTCGCATGGTCCAATTTTCGAGCACTTTTCCGCACATTTCAGCGTCTACCTGTCCAAGGACCCGAATGATGTTGGCCCTTAATGCTGCAATTGTTTGTGGCTTATCCGCATACACTGGAGACTTCACGTAGCCCCACAGGAAAAAGTCTAAAGGCGTTATATCGCACGATCTTGGTGGCCAGTGCACATCGCCGCCGCGCGAAATAATGAAACCGTTGAACTTTTCATGCAGTAAATCCAGCGTTGCGCGTTCGGTGTGGCACGTAGCGCCGGCCTGCTGGAACCAGATGTCTGTTAGATCCATATCGTCCAGTTGAGGCCACAGGAAATCATTAATCATGGCGTTGCCCATAGCGTCCTCAAAAAAATATGGACCGATTACGCCGCCAGCCCAGAAACCGCACCATACAGTCACTTTAGCAGGATGCATAGCAATTGAGCATGTCACTTCAGGATTTTGGTCAGCCCATATACGGCAATTCTGTTTATTGACATACCTATTCATCCAGAAATGCGCCTCGTCGCTGAAGATGATTTTTCGTGCAAATGCAGGGTCGACTTGCAACTGCTCTAGAGCCCATGCGGCAAATGTACGGCGCTGTCCATGGTCTTGCGGTTTCAATTCTTGCGTCAATTGAATTTTGTACGCGTGCAATTTCAAGTCTCGACGCATAATTGTCCATGTTGAGGTCTTTGGAAGGGCAAGTTCTTGTGCACGTCGCCGCAATGACTGATTCGGGTCTTGACGCACGCTCTCTCGCACAGCAGCAATATTCTCGATTGTTCTTACTGTTCGTTGCCGTACGGGTGTTGTTTGGTCTGCCACTGAGCCAGTTCTCTCAAATTTATTGAGCAGACGTCGAATAGTGGACTCAGCAGGACGGCCATGCGCACCATAAATTGGACGCAATGCGCGGAACGTTTCACGAACCGAACATCTGTTTTGATGATAAATTTTCACTATTTCCACGCGTTGTTGAATCGTGTACTGCTCCATGATTAAATGTCAAGACTAACTTAATAACCTCACAAAATTTGACAGCTGTATCCCCACCGGTTTGGGCGCGCGCGCCGTTCAAACATCGAGCGTCCCTATCTGAACACCTTTACTTTATAACCCCAGATCATAACTGTACTATTTTTCAAAATGGCGGAAGAGTGAGCTGCCATATATGGGCTTTTTTGTAGCTTGAATGGCTTATAACTCAACAAAAAATCATCAAGAAGCTTATATCATATCAATCTTCTTCTTTCTGAAGCGTCTATCTAGGGGTCTATTTGTATGTGCAATAAATATGGGATACCTACTTCGTTTAAAAAGATGACCGATTTTGCTAACATTTTTTTTTGTTAGATAGAATATTCCATACTTTATTACATATTTTATTCAGATCGACTCTTCCATAGGTAAACGATCGATATAATTACATCGTTTTGATGATTGCTGAGTATAAGCGTCCGCCATTTTGAAACAGTAATCTTGGATTTTAGAATACTCGTAAAAGACTTATAGGCGACTGCAGAATGACATCGTCCCTATTTAGTTTAAAAAAATGTGCCAAGATGACACCCAGTCACTATTTATAATATAGAATGCATGCACCAATTTCATCTTCCAAAGTTTCAGGTTGGTTACTTGACCCGTTCATTAAATAAGTAGGGAGGGACCTTTCCGAAAAACAGTACAAAGTGGTGGTCCCTCATGTAATTCTGTTATATAATACTACTTCTGACACGGAGGTTAGTATTTGAATGGCTGTTACTTTCTTGTGGATATTAATACTGATAATAGAAGTGACTTGAAGTTGTGTACTATTATTCATACAGCTTTTCGATTTGATGGCGTTAAGGAAATCGACACCCTTAAGTCATTAACGATCATCTCACATCGTATACCTTTTAACACTCTGTAGAACAAGAAGTAAGCGCATGACCCCTATCATTCTGACACTAGAACCTGGGCACATGTCATTCATTGTAATGTCATTGTCACTATACTGAGAGTATGTATAACATCAAAATACATAAGGCGAAAAATGTTTCACTGAAAATCTGCAGTTCAAAAGTTCACAATAGTTGTACAACCAATCGGAAGGGAACAATGGCCTCTAGACAAGATGGCGGATGACAATATTGCGAAGAAGGACGTATCCAGCACCACTACCAACAGCTATTTGTGTCGCAAAAGAGGATACGTTGACATCAACGACCAAAAAATGGAGCCCGGAGATGCAGATAATTCGCACTTTGAGGAGATGTACCAAGAAGTTAAGACCATTGCGTTCATATAAACAAAACATATTTATTGATTAAGATAGTAGGATTTTAATTGCAATACTTCTGACAGAGAAGAGAATCGAAGTACTTATAAACTGAAATCGCAAGCAAAATGACATCCTTTTTGCAAGAGTGCTTTGTGGGAGAAAAGTAGATGTATCTTACTACGAAATAAAGAAGAAAAATTGTTGCAAATTTGGCTAAAAACGTTGAGCACGCAAGTGGTTAGAGCTAAACAGTTCAGATAAACCAGCTAATTCGAACAAATTAGAAAGCCATTTACATTTCAATCTTTGTATCCAAAATTGCGTAGTTTAAGTGCATAATTTTTACTCCTTTGACTACCATTGCCTATCAATGTGGCAACGTTGCATCAAAATAATAATAATCGTACTTGGAAACATCTACTTTCATTTGGCTTTGACCGTTCTTTGCAACTTATGCAAGGAGTACTATGTTATGTCCTGAAATCATCTAACACCACAATTATCTACAAACACTCGTATTTTCTGAAGATAATAGTAAAATACGAATTTTTTAATAGCACTGTCAAAAAAATAACTCATGTCAAGTCCTCTTGTAGCATGCTCTTTCATCCTGACTATACACCGAGAATTTGGAGACAAACAAATCGTAGGTCTGCTCTTCTTATCTAGTCTAATTCGTTGAGATAAGCAGTCACATCGCTTCATTGATACACAATATGTTATCACTATTATTAAATAAGCCAAAGACCATGCGTCCGCAAACGGACCGGGCAGAGGTTAATCCTGTTGTAATTTTTCCGTTCACAAAAAGGGCTAAATGTCGGCATCTCTGGGGTATTCACTTTATACGAGGTCTGTAAATTGTTTTATCTAATTAAGTGATGAGATAATTTTTTTATTCTAATATAATTACAATTTTATATTGTCACACTCAAAATAACTTCCTTCTGAGGCCACACAGCGCTGAAGATGATTCAGCTGGCCGGTTACAGCTGTTTGAGTGTTTTGACTGTCTAAAAATGAGTTCCTTTGAGGTGATTTTTAAAAAAAGGACTCGAGTCAGGCGATGCAGGAGGATGAGAAGCCACAGGAATGTTTTTACTGGACAAAAACTCGTTTATTGACATTACTGTGTGACAAGAAGCATTATCGTGATGCAAGCCCCAGTTGTTCTTAATCTGATGGACGGTGGTGTAAATCAAATTTAATCTTCCCCGATCATTCTGATTGTCAACCGGCTCTTAAAGATGAAGGCCTTCCGCTTCGTGGTTCATCTTCAATCGACTCTCTTTCTTCTGAACATGCCTTAAATCACCAAGAAACCTGGACTGACAAAAAACACTATCTCCGTAGACCTGATGAAGTTTAGCAGTAGTTTCCGATGCCCTGTGCCCAAGTTTTAAGCACACCGATGCTTCTTTTTAAAACACAATAGAAAAACTGTTTCACAAAAAAAAAATGCCACCGTAGTCGTTCGACTTCAAACTTTCAAATTTACCATATCCTGTTGCAGGATCGCATATTGAAGATATTATCATCCAGTCATCAATCACAAGAAGTAATGATACTTTACAAAAATGAGAACTTCTGTCACGAGTCTTCAAATCTGAGTTGTTTCGACGACGAGATACAGCAGACTAGCAGAAACACCTATGTAATCCAACCTGACGACTACAGAGAGGACACAGTGAGGATAATATATTTCAGGAACGAGCAGAGAGCCGAAGTGGTTCTTTTGAAAAAAGAAAATGTAATAGCAAGGTTCTGGGCATGGTGTAAAGGAAAGATTGACTGTCTTAAGCCAGAAGACCCCGATTAGAACATGTATTGAAATGTCAACTTGAGGTCGAATGCTACTCTTTATACGTTTTATATGTTCATAGCAGCCTTGATAGGATCCGATTGATTCTAAATAAACAGTTTATTAATAAGGGTTGGTTTTACTATTTGACGCAGATAGGAGCTGATTGCGACAAAAGTCTTTTGGAAGAGTTGCGTTGTAAGTTATAGGCAGAGAAGTGTTTGGATATAGGTGGTCTACGTGGGAGTATGCAAGCGACAAAGGTATACTTGTAGTTATATACGCTCTCCCAATTGAAATTATTTCCGATGTCTACACTTTTTGTATTAGCTTAAATGTTTTAATAACTCGGACTGGTGTTGGCACAGGGTGACGTCATAAACACAGGGGCTATGTGAAACATGTAACGCGGCCCCTTCAGTCAACAAACTTGGATGAAATAAAACCCTTGTACAGGGTGCGGCAGAGAGGAAGGGCGGTTTCAAAAAAATCATAAAATAGTTAATTTTTACTCGAAAACAAATTTATTGATGAAATCAGGTTCACAAGGAAATAGCATTTGAGACAGTCAAGTGTGGAAAATCACATCAGGCATGTAGTGGCCGAAATCGTTGATGCAGTGCTGGAGGCGTACTTGGAAGTTCGCGTCGACTCTCTCCAACATCGCTCTCTCAACTTGAGCGACTTCCACGCGAATTACGCCCTTTAATTCGTCCAGAGTTCGGGGCTTGTTCGCGTATACTCTAGCCTTGAGGTGTCCCCATAAGAAAAAATCGCATATGGATAAATCTGGGGACCGAGAAGGCTAATGAACATCGCCAAACCTGGAAATAAGGCGACCAGGGAAGAGAGGGCGAATAACGTCCATGGATGCTCGGGCTGTGTGGGCGGTCGCCCCATCCTGCTGGAACCACACACGTCGGATTGGAACACGTTGCCGGGTAGATCGAGTCGGACTGCGAAGAAAGACCTGTCGAACGCGTTCAACATTTTCAGGAGCTCGAACTGTTCGCGGCGCTCCTCTTGGTCTTCTGTTGATCAGTTCACCACGCCTGCCAAGTGATTCAACCCAACGAAGGATGGTGTTTCGAGAGGGAACAGCTCTATTCCGATGAATGTTGAAGTGGCGACGAAACTCACGCTGTACGACGATGACTGACTCATTATTTCGGACGAAACAATCATAGACGAAAACGCGGTGCTCCACCGTCCAAGACTCGATAACGACCACTGGTAAAATAATGCTAGGATCTCGAGTCAAACGACACCCTCCTCACCTCTCTCGTAGACGGAGGCGGAGAGTACTACCCATCCCAAAAACGTCCGTCCTCTCTCCCGCACCCTGTATAATTGAAAAATGTGTCGTTTCGTGTGACTATATGTTAAAAATCAAGTTATCAATAATAATTTTATACTTTAGCTAATATCATAATAATTACCGTCAAAGGTCAAATTTATATAACAAACCGACATGATGAAATAAGGTAAAATATGTTAAGTTAAATTTAAAAAAACAGATGATTGATTACGGATTATAATACTGTTGCAGAGGATAAATGCAGTGTTGGTTATATATAAATATTTTTAAAAGGTTTAAAATAATTGATATTTTTCCACTATGCGGGCAATTTATTGAAGATATATCTTCATAGGAGGCAGGGCTTCTACAGTATATGCTTAGCATATATGCTACTCTAGGGGGTGCAATGAGACCAAAAGTTTAATTATACCCTTCTGCAGGATAAAGATGCGTTGAACGTTAACAGATGATCCCCAATAGGGTATTAAATATTTATACGATAGTAGGGTAAGTAAGTAAGGTAGGGTAAGACCGTTTGTATGATAAAATTACGATGTCATGAATTTATAGTATGATTTTGCGAAGTTAGGTTATTTCACTGATTACACTGATCAACAGCCAAAAAATATCCTAAATAAAATCAACAAAATATTACTATTTTTAATGTTGCAAAACTGGAATGAAACTTATTTTTTCAATATTAGTTCAAGTTTTAGAGATACGGTAATTATATGTGTTCCTGCTCTGACAGTGTCAATATACTGTAATTCACAAGAATGCACGTGCTACATTTTTATATTCGGCAAGGAAAGATGATGTAATCGGCATGATTTTATATTAGCCATTTTTTCCTCAGTTGGCTGACAGCGTTCATGCAAGATGTCTCGAAAGTGTGTAAACAATCCAGATCAGTTTTGTTACGTATGTGGTGATGTGACTTTTGCGTCTCAGAGACGGTCTATTACTCCACTAATAACAAAGGCATATCAGCTTTATTTCGGTTGTAGACTAGGTGATCAAGACAAACAGTGGGCACCCACATCTGCTGTAATACATGTGCTTCAAGTCTGAGGAGCTGGTTAAATGGCAAAAAACGGTCTATGCGCTTTGCTGTCCCAATGGTTTGGAGAGAGACTACAAATCATTAATGATTGTTACTTTTGCATGGTACCTTGTGTTGGACAAGCCACAGGTATGTCCAAGAAAAAAAAATCGGTTATTAACTACCCAAACATACCATCTGCGATGAGACCTGTGCCTCACAGTGACGAAAATCCTATTCCAAAACCCCCAGAATCCTACCCTTGCGAATCAGAAAACGAATCAGATCATGGCGATCGAGTGATTCGTCAGGAAGAAGATATGCCATCAACGTCAAGAAATCCTGATTTTATACCGAGCACGTCATGCCACCAACCGCACAAAATAACACAGTCAGAATTAAATGATCTTGTAAGAGATTTAGAACTTCCAAAATGTAAGGCAGAGTTACTTGGATCAAGACTGCAACAGTGGAACTTGTTAGAAGACGATGTTTCGGTATGTGTTTTTCGTAAACGCCACAAAGACTTAGAACCATTTTTCAATATGGAGAATAACTTGGTTTTCAGCAGTAACATTAACGGCTTACTGGTGGCTTTAAATATAAACTATAACCCAGGAGAATGGAGATTGTTTATAGACAGTTCAACATTGAGTTTAAAGGCAGTGTTATTGCATATTGGAAATATTTTACCATCTCTTCCTGTAGGGTATGCAGTTCACATGAAAGAATCATATGACAATATGAAGTACCTATTGACATGCATAAAATACGACGAGCACCAATGGCATATTTGTGGCAATTTGAAAGTTGTTGCACTTTTACTTGGGCTGCAGCTAGGCTACACAAAGTTTTGCTGTTTTTTGTGTGAATGGGACAGTCGGGCAAAGGCACCAGACAAAACTGGCCTGTTCGTCAATTCCTAGAGCCAGGTCAAAAAAATGTACAGCATATGCCATTAGTAGATTCGAAAAAAATTTTATTACCACCACTGCATATCAAGTTGGGCCTAATGAAAAACTTTGTCAAGGCATTAGATAGAGATGGGCCAGCTTTTCAATACCTGCGTCAGAAATTTCCAAGACTAAGTGAGGCAAAGGTTAAAGAAGGTATTTTTATTGGGCCACAGATTCGAAATATTTTGAAAGATACATAGTTTGAAAACACTTTAACAGGTATTGAAAAAACTGCTTGGAATGATTTCCGTCTGGTGGTCACTAATTTCTTGGGAAATAGAAAACCTGACAACTATAAAACCCTTGTCAAAAATATGCTGTCATCGTATCAAAAGATGGATGTCTCTTAAGATACATTTCCTACACTCACACCTGGACTTTTTTCCTGACAATTGAGGAGCCGTAAGTGATGAGCACGGCGAACGTTTTCATCAGGATATTTCAACAATGGAAAAAGGTACCAGGGAAAGTGGAATCCTTCCATGCTTGCAGACTACTGTTGGACTCTTGGTAGAGATGCTCCAGAAACGATACATAAAAGAACAGCAAAAAGACAGCGCATATAGTGATTCTTATAAGTATATGAATCTTGTTACTTTTTTTAATATATCCTTAAAAATAAAAAGTTTTTTTTCTAAACCGCAACTAATTTTTTTATTTCATTGTCATTTTTGTATTCAGCGCCCCAAAATTAACAAAGAAGTGCACTTTTCCCACAAGATACAATTAAAAAACTAAAATTTGTTGTCCAGTGTTATTTTTATTTCCATTTTATTTCATGGTTTTAAGTGATACCTTAATAATAATTTTAGTGGGGAGTTTTTGGTTTGAAAGAACAGTTATGAGTAGAATACACCTTAAGACATTAACACCAAAGACAAAAATATTATTCGAAAACAACCTAACCTGCTCTAACATAACCTAACTATTCATCTTTCAAATATGATCGTTCATGCAACATGAAAACATCGTCTATCTTTATCGGATGCATGCAAATTAGCAATACAGTTTGTTTATGGTTTGTTCGTACAGTAATCGGTAACTTGTCGTGTGTGAGATGTTACCTGTTCGTACAGTTCATGACTGTTTGCCGACAGCTACTCCGCTGTTCGTAGAGAACCTTCTGACAGATCAGAGGACACCAGTCAACCAGTGACAGTGACAGGTGTCAGAGTATGTCGGAACTATCTTGAGGACTAAAATTGATTCGCAAGAGGGATTTAATGGACAGTTTTCTAATGGACGGTTTGAGGACACCTTCGTACCAACGGACCGTTGGCGATCTAGCTACGCCAACGGGCTTTGCTTCTCAGAGCTCTCTTCCATGGTGTCGTCCCGCGATGTGCCTACCTGACTTCGGCCTCCCATCGTAACCGTGTCGAACTTCGTACATCCAGAACTGGCCGATAAGACCGCTCCTTTGTCTCGAGGGTGTCGAGATCGTGTAACAATCTACATGAGATTTTCCCAGTTCCACTAACTTAAGGCACTTCAAAAATGGGAATAACAAAGTTTATTTGAGCTCCTGAAAGCAGTTGGCAGTTGGCATGTAGGGTTCACCTGCGCGGCTGCTTAGGTGTAAAAAAATGAAACCCAAAATCTTAATTTTGTAGAGAAAACAGTGCCACAATTCAACAGAAACAAGTTTTTGTAACATTTTCAGGTGAGCAAGTGGCAGAAGAAATTTTAATGAAATCCCATTTTGAATATCAGCCAGCGCCAAAGTGCTTTGTGCTCAATATTTTGTTTATTGACCCGGGAATAGCAAAATGAAGATTATGAATACAGTATGAAAAATCCGAACAAGAGAGGACATAACTTTCAAGAACTAT